TATTATAAGAAGCCAAGGAAAGAGTTCTCATTGAAACATTGTATGCATTTGGCCGTCAGCCACCTAACAGTCTCTATAGATCTATCTATCACCATAGACTTTGAATGTGGCTCCTTATAAATGCTATACATATTAATTTGCAAACTTTCATTCCATGCTCACCACTCATTCCCAAACTCATCAAGTCCTCTCCTGTACATCAATCTCTTCTCATTGTCTTCCGTCCCTCTGCCCATCAAAAAAACCCGGAAGAGAAAAATGGTTTCCAAGTACTCTCATGGCCATCTCTTCCTTGTTTATAGCTTCAATGGATGAAAGAGCTAAACAAAAAGTTGCTTTTATGTTAAAGAGAGGTAAGCCTCACATGTCTATGAAAAACATTAAAATATATTATTCAAAGATTTATTCTTCAATAGGTTTTCTTACTAAAAGTATCAATATGAACGAATTGTTAAGACAATTTTTTTATTAGAATATATATGTAAATATGTATAAATAAAATTATAATCACATTATTCAAAAACCATATCAATAACTTGTCTTCTAAAAATAATTTTTTTTGTTATTTGAAAATGCTTTTAAAGCATTCAGCTAAAGTAGATAATCCAATCAAATGCATCGTAACAAACGCGGTAAAAAATCTGTATTTAAGGGCTTAACGACACCTCTTGGGTTGTTGGCCTAGGTTTTGGTAAGGGCTAGATTCTCTTGCTTCTTCTTTTTTTTCTTTTTAATTCTTTGTTTTTTTATTTCGAAGCATGATGCAATAAAAAAATAATTTAGTTCATAAAATATTTTAAATTTTATTCTCTGGTATTTAAGAATTATTATGCTGTGGCTTGCTAGGTAGACTCGTGCAACCACATTAATCAAACCAAAAAAAAAGAAGAGAGATTTTGATCATCATCTCTCTCTGTTTTTTCTTAAGGAAATATATTGATTCACCCTCTAATCTAGGCTAATGGCAAGAATTTCTATATCAATGTGAGTTTCCAATAAAATTTTTTAGGACATCTTGACTGGGACTTGATCGGCAACTAAAATTAGACGGACCGCTCCAAGGTGCAATAGGAAGTTGCTAGGCTTAGAACTCCGAACAATACAAATATCGTACAGCTGAGTGTTGACTGAGAGAAACATCCAACAGCATAACAAACTGTGAGGATAAATTACGTTGGTTTCCCTAAAGAAATTCGACCCCATGTACGATCGCATTGATCGAAAAACAAATTTGGATTTAAGCAGGAACCGAATATCCCTTCATAGCATGACGTGCTGGAAAGCATATGCAAGTGTACAATCTTTCATAGACAACCAGAAATCAAGGAATGAAGTGCACTTGCACTAGTAATTAATCTTCATTATTCAATCGGTATAAGTTGTTGGTTTACCCGATGCATTGGGTTTCTGGGGGTTTTCCAAAGATTTTCAAACA